TTTAAAGATAAATTGTGAGATGGAAGGAAAATTTAACTGGCAAAGGTATCCCGTAACATCTTGTTAGGTCAGCCCCATTCTCTGTCTTAAGGTACAAATAATGTGCAAATTATCTGTTAAGACCCCTGTTAAGACCTGTCAGAGGTACAGATTGTTCTAGCACATACATACTCTTGAGAGCCTATAAAAGACATGAATGGCGAATGCAGAAGACACAACTGCAACACACAACAATCTTACAAGCCTATTGTTCATACTCATTCTGCTAATATTGTAGTTCTGTCTAGTAGTGAGAAAATCATTGTAATATCTTTCACTTTGTGAATTTATTTTCTGTAAGGAGCCCTTTTATAGTTATCTTCTCTCTGAGAGTTATTCCTTTCCTTACCCTTTACTATTGTTTTCCAGTCAAAAGTGACTATAAAGAATACTTGTAATTCTTAATCATAGGAAGATATTAGGATCTGATATCTAGGAGTGACTTTATCAACTTGAGTTTGTTAAGAGTGATATTGTGTACTTAGAGTTGTAATTGTGATTGGTTCTAGTGGACTTAATACAAATCTTGTATATCCTCATACCTATAGATGATCAAGCATTAGACTGTCTACTGCTCTTTGCAAAAGAGAGTCTCAAACTCTATTCAACACCTAAAATCACCTGCTCTTCAGTATCTTCACCCTTCACTTGATCTCTTCACACCGTTTCTAGGCCCAATGAGCATCTATTATCTGTGTATCCATTTTCATGACATTTTTATTTAAAAATAATAAATAAAGAGACAGTTACCTTCCCTCCCTACTTGTACCTTTTTATAAGGGTATTTTTGTTATTTTCACGTAATTTGTATTTCTGTGTATTTGGTTATTTAGTGTGCTTACACACTTATAGAATAAGAGCTAATCATGTTTGCTTCCTTTTCTACTTTTGTCTGTCTCTCTTATCCTATCCTTCGTTATCATATATATTGACTATCAAACAACAGAATTCCAAAAACTATATCTAGATAGAAACCTTATAGTTAAGCATATTTATTGTTCACATTCCAACTAACTGTAACTCAAACATCATATACGAAATCATTTAATCCAAAATTATTAATTACCACTTGATAGATGCAGTGCAGAAAGGCATATCCGTCCAGTTTGACAGTAAGTGGAAAACTTCATTCCCAGTGCATATTCAAAAAGAACTGGAATAAGCCGGTCACCATGGCCAGTTTCCTGTAAATCAATGCCTGTAAAATGCAATGAAGGATATATAATATACCCCAAAATTCCAGCCAAAGAATTCACACATAAAGCATGAACAACAATTGCTAACACCAACCTGATTGAACATTAGCCTCGCTACAACACTCCAACGGCTATTTCACAACAAAATGTCAGCATATTATGGTGATTACATTTTGCACTCAAACAAATTAAATTCGTACAGAATGCATGTGTGTGTGTGATTATTCATTCATAAAAAAATAAACACACTTACATATACATATACATACATATGTGAGTGTGTATTCCATTTTTAAGGCTCTAAATGCTCACCGTTCCAGATGCTGTCTCCTTGCAGGCATTGTGCATTGACTCTCTCTCAACGGAATTAACTTGATCGTTTTCAAAAGATATAAACCTTGCTTCGTCCTTCAAAGCATTCTGTTTTTTACGTTTTCTAGTCATTCTTACAGATGATCTGTTAGAGTTATCCTTAAACTGATCATCTACAGCTATGATCCTACTGCTATTATTTAAATCATGAGATGCTCCTTCCTGGCGAAGCTGCTGCAATTTCTCCACTTCTTCAGAAAGAGCTTTATCTTCCAAAAGTTCACACCCAAATCATTAATAGAGAAGAATAAATGAAATAGACATACATTTAAGGATAGACATAAGGAAACAGAATGATGAACTTAAATTCACAAAAGATGAATTAGAATCACCATCAAACTCCAACATTGAATATAGATTCCCACAAAAGTTGCAAAGCAAAAGATTAACCACATGGTGGTAAACAACAAACCTTGTTTTCTATTTCAAACGAGGAATTAATCAGAAAATTATGAAAAGTAATTAGAGAAGTTCCAGACTCAAAGCAATATGCTAAAACAACGTTACTCAACTTTACAAGACCAATTCAGTAAGGTGAGGTTTCACCCAACATATATACTATAATTTGGCCTATCTCTAATTGGTGTGGGATTTCAACACACTCCTCACACTGAGAATATTGAGCATGGGAATCGAGAAGGGCTTGATAGTGCATGACATGATAGGCTTAAATCTCGACTAGAATATAGTCTAATGACTTAAGTCTAATTCAACTCTACAAGATTGACTCGGCAAGGTGAGGTTTGTGGTCTTATCTCTAGCCTATATGAGATCTCCAACACAGGAAAACATACGATAATTAAGGACAATGTAAAAAGTGTTATTTTCAACAACTACACTGGTATTATTAATACCCGTCTGCATCATGAAATAAAAGAAAAAGAAAAACGTGTACTACAATTACTTAACAAGCAGTTAAATTTAATTTGAAGAAGCAGAGAGAGGACGGAGAGTCTCACTTTTGTGGCTTTCCTCCATCAAAAGCATCTGATAGTCCGCTAACTGGTTGTCTTTGGCAGCCCTGACGTACACATTTCGTAAACAAACGAAAGAAATCCAAAAAAAAAATTGAAAAAAATTCAATATGGGAAACATACCTTAGCGAAGCGAGCTCGACTCTCAAGTCATTGACTTGTCCAAGAAGCTCTTCCTTCTCGGTCTTCAAATGCTCTATGACCTCTTCTGCAGCTGCAACACTCGAAATTCACAACTCGTTGGTTGTTTCAGGGAGAAAGAAGTGACGGGGAAAGGAAACAATGGATGGAGAAGAAACGTACCGGACAAGCAATTGATGAATTTAAGCTGTTGTTCTTCGTTAAGGTGTTCCAAATCAGATAATTTCTTAGTCTAAAAGGAGAAATAATACAAAGAATCAGTAAAAACGCCTGATAACCTGTTTCTAGTTGGTGATGAAAGAAAGGTGAATTGCAGAAGAAAATTACCTTGACTTCGGTGTACTTGTCATAGAGCTTCGTGTAGAGAACCTCCATTGCGCGCACAAACTGCAGAGTTAATTTGAATTTGAAGTTCTGAACAATATAGATCCCACGAAACTGTAGGACCAAAAGAGATTCAAATAAAACCCGCAAAACCCGATTAACTGTGGTAGCCCGATTCAGTTCTTATAATTTGGACTTCGAACAATGTCCACTGAGGGAAATTTACTAGGCCCACTAAATTGGGCCATTTTCATCCCCTATTTTCTCTGGGTGTTGCTCCCTGCTTCCTCCGTTTTCCCATATTATTTTAATTCCAATTGTATGCTTAGGTTAAAACTTTTTTACTTTTACTATTTAAGATTTTTTAATATATTTTAAAATCTTAATTTTATTCACTTATTCACTTGTGTAGCAGCTGCACCCCACCACATCTCTCACGTATTTAATAAAAGAAGGATAGTTTTAGAAATAAATAAATTCGAGAGGTGGAAAGAGTTAGAGGTGATGACGGAGGAAGCAACGCCCATTTTCTTTTCTTCTTTATATCAGGTCATTATTTAACACATAATATTTCAAAAAGATAATATCACCTCTCACAGATAAAATATAATATTAAATTCTCAAAATAATTATAAAATGTACTATTATAATATTTTGTATTAGAAAGAATAAAATAAAAATAAAAAATGTTTTTTAATGCACTAGTACGTGGAACGCCCAAGTTACAACAACCGTATTACTTCTTTGAGAATGTAAATGGTTCTTTATCAGTTTGTTACAAGGTATCCACAAAAATTCATTGCATAATATGGTGGTCGTCTTCCATTATTTTACATCCAAAATAATTTTCAAGTCAAATGTTAAATAATTTAAAGTGTACCAGAGATGAAAGTCTTGTATTATTTGTGAGAGCAACCTTACTAAAATGATAGTACAACTTTCAAATATAAAGAAAACTATTAAAATTATAATAAATAAAAATAGTATATTATGATATATCATTAAAATTATCTTCATTGTAAAAAATATTATAAAAATAATATTAAATCTACAAATAAATAATATTATTATGAAAAATATTAGGTTAAATATATTTTTAATTCCTAAACTTTAATTTAAAATTTAAATTTGATGTTTCAAATTTTGATATTCAAACTTTGTGTCAGTTTGCAACGTCGTAAGATTCTAAAAATATATCATTTATTTTTAAAGTTTAAATACCAAAATGTAAATAAAAATAAATTCCAATTTTACAACGAAAATCATATTTAAACAAAAAAGTATTGGAAAAGCAATGGCTCTTCTAACAAAAACAAGTTATTAAAATTATAAATAAGTGTTAGTTGGTAAGTATTTTAGTTGGAAAAATGGTAAAAAAAACAAAAACAGGCCATGACAATTGATTAATAATAAGGTCGGAGTTTGAATTAACAAATCACCTTAGATTGAGAAGGTTGTTCATGATTTCATGTGCTCTTTGAACGGAATTCTCCCATACTTGCAGAACCGTATCATTGCAAGCAAGCAAATTATTTGGTGTTGCAGGTGGGAACAATTGACTCAATGTGTAACAGGGCAAGGAACTAAGAATATAGATAGAAGAGAGGAAACTGATTGTATTTTTTTCCAATGAATGCTGAACAGTTTATGGCCCAGTTTTTTTCTCCGCACTCCAAAGACTACTCAAATTAAGCATCTGGATCCAACTGTTTCGAAATAGTAACTTAATTTGCATTGGAGAAGGATAGACATATCCTTAACAAAAATTACTTCACTGACCGAAGACCTTTGCGTTTTGATTCACTTTTATTTAAAAGGGCATTTAAGTTGCCAGCTCAAAATTTACAAAGAACATGTAAGAGGACCACGAATGAAGGCTTTTTTGAGAGTGAAAAAACACAGCTCTGTGTGTAGTTGATGAAAAGCTCAAGTGTTGTTAGGACTAAAAGAATGCAACAAAAGTAATTAACTCAGCTGTGATTAGGTAACATTTAAGAAGTCTATATATGTATAATCACGATTTTAAACCACAGAATAGGAAAATAATTGCATTACATGTTACCAGATTGGTATGGTAATAACAATATAAAAAGGTAAATGGACATAATGTTGAAGTGTAGCAAGAGGAATTTGCTGACATATTCCTCCAACTAATTGGAGTACAGTTGGCCTCATTACATTCTCTACTTTCGCGCTTCAGCCTTCTTCTGCTCTTTAGCTGAAACAAATTTACTTATTAGTTTCAAGCTTTTGGATATCGAAATAGAGTTAGCAGAAGAAACAGTATTCAGAGACTTAAGAGCTAACCAGCTTTCTCTTCTTCTCTCTTTTTAGCAGCCTCTGCCCTTTGCTGACGTATAAGAGCTAAACGTTCTACAAGACAGACAAACTAACCATAAATCATTGGGAAACAATACAATAGCCCTCACAAAACAACCACTTCAATCTGCAAAGCATATTTTATTTTACAGAACTCATAGAGCTCACAAAGTACCATATCAATCAATAGTTTACATAAGTCATAATAAAATTAATGATAATACCAACAATCAAAGACAAGAACTTAAACAGAAAAGGACGAACGAATCTTTCAGAAACAATCGTTGACTGTTTCAAATGCTACTGGTACCTAAATCTTTCTTTGCTTGTTCTGTTTTCCCTTGCTCTTGCAGCCTCATGTAGCGCTCATGGGCTCTCTGTTTCTCCAGCTCCTCTCTGAAAACAGATGTGAAATTTAAATATGTTAAGAAAAAATGTTTCAGAAGTTTCACTTTCAATATTCCCACAAAGATAGGAATTGAAACAACTAGACGTAATAATGTTCTGCACCCTGTTTAATAATAAGCAATACACTCATTGATGATACTAAGAATTATACAATACTACAAGTTTTGTCTCCCTTCTGTGTTCCATTACATACAGGGTGGTGGAATTGTGGATTCGTAGCAAGATCACTAGGGAAGATTATGAAATCGAGATATTCCTGATATTCTGTAAACTGCCCTGCAGGTCAGGTTGTACAATGTGGAAGTGAGAAAGTGAGTTAGGAGTTCCCCAAATCTACTCTACTCCACATCATGGTAATGGCTTTTCTCCCATATTTTTACTTCATTTTGAATCCATATCTCTGTTTTCTCTCTTGTTTCAACTTCAAGGGAAGCATTTACTCTGCTCTCAGTGAATTGGGCTTTCAGTTCAAGCTCATCACTATTCTGTTTGTTAACAGCTATATATCCCTGAAATACTATGCTCATTATTATCTCTTATTTCACTTGGGGTGGTGGCTTAGGGAGGTTATCTGTTGGGGCCCTGTTAAAGATCAATGATGGAGGCTTGGGATGTTTTTGTTGCAATATTGGAGTGTTCGTCTTGTGGCTTTATGTCATAATAAGTTTAGTTTACATTCTGAGTTAATGACCAGTAGTCAAAACCCTATCCCTTTTCAACTTAATTCTAACGTTTTTTGACTTTGCGGTTAATTTTCAAATGGTATAAACAAAAGGCAAAAGTAGCTAACCTTTCACGCCTTGAAAGTTCTGTTGTTTTTCCAACCTGTAACACAAGAAAATAGCATTATTCTTCCAACTTCCAGAAAAATGTCTACATGGGAAGACCGAAAACAGAAAATTGAACTCACATCAACATCTCTGGCCTTCACACTCTTTGGCTTTACCAAGTTAGGATTTTCAATCTCAATAATCCCTTGAGTTCCTTTTTTCTTCTGCATATATTACATATCGATGAAGTTAACATAGTTAGGATGGCAGCAGATCATATAAAGAAACAAGTCCTCGCTTAAAAAAATTAAAAATTCAATCCATCTATATTAGTAATTGCTGCAAAATACTAACCGAAGATTCTTCTTCAGATTCTTCTCCAGATTCATCCCCAGATGCTTCCTCAGATTCTTCCTCTACGTGTTCAGCTTCTTTCTAATAAGTTGTAAAGATTATGAAAAAAAAAGTTATAAAGAACATGGAGAACAAATTAATTCATATCATGTATATATAAAAATTAATTGTTGCCATAGATGGTCTACGGAAAGAAAAACATTAGTGTGCTAGTGATCACATGTGTCTGTGCTATGAGAGAGAGGTGCAAAATGAAGAGGAATGGATGCAGAAGAAAACCTGTTTAAAAGTTCGAGGCCGGTTAGAGGTTCCAGCAACTGCAGTAGTCAAAAACAAAATTTAAGTTTCTGAAGGTGTTTTCTTAGTCTATCATTACGAAATATCATTTTTCTGTTTCTTTTTTTATGAGGGGTAGGGGGCCAAAAGAGCGGTGGCATCAACAAGAATATTTTCAGCAAAGTTTCAAAATAAAGGAATTGGAATAGAATTTAAAAACTAGTGATGCCTCCACAAAATATTAGCATACTGGAGCATAAATACAATGACAGTAAATCCCAACAATAAAGCATTTAATTTCCCAGCATGCGATAATATGTGACTACCCCATACAAAAAAGATACTAGAAACAAAAAGCGCATGGTATTGAACTGAGATATTATTTTACAAGCAATCACAGGGTTCAACTAATATCAATTTCTTCAACTGCAAGTATTATGCAAACCCTCAAACAGTGCAAAATTCTAGAGCTTTCTAAGATAAAATCCTTTATCTGCCCGATGTCTCAGTTCCACATCTACGATCCAAACCTTTTCTTCACAATATCCACTTCATAAATGCAAATTCAACAAAATCTAAAAAGAAAACGAAATCGCAAGACAACTCCACAAAGATATCTGCAAGTTATAGTCCACAATAAGGAGAGTGACAATTTCCTCATTTGGAGTGGCCCAAATATAAACTCACTGAAACACACCAAAAATGACAATCTCAGCAAATTAAAACGGTCATTAGTACTTATTTTCTCCATTAGCATTCATGAAACAGTGGTTACCGTTCCCTCTCCATCATATAGACATACAATTTTCCCTGATCATCAAAGGCCCTGACTCGCGTTTATTTACAGCTGTAGTCACTTCAAAGTTTATGGGGAAAATCAAACCAAGCAGCACGGTACTCAACAGTTATTAATCCAAACAAATGAACAGTAATAGAAATTCATTTCAAACAAAAACAGATATCCAGAGTACCCAACCGGGGAGTCTCTCCAGATCTAACAATCCCAACAAATTCCATTTCCACATCAAAACATTCATGCACCACCCACATCCCGCTCTACATAAAAACAACAAGAAAATAACCCCTAATAGTTCACAAGCATATTTCACAACAAAAAATAACTATTTCATCAAGGTTATAAAAATTCCACTTTAAGGGCCAAAGGCGTAATCTTTTTGCAGGAAAAGGGAAAAGGGACTCACGGAGATCTTCCGGGGTGGAGAACTGGCGGCGACCGGTGGGCTTGCTTTTGTATTTTCCTCTTCCCATCTTATCGTTCAATTGCACCCACGCTACGCTACAATTTTCGAATCAAATTCTTCTTCCTTCTGCTATATTATGAGATTAAAGTTTGACAACAACAAAAGGAAGATGCACTCTCCCCCTTTATTCCAAATTCCAAAAACCCTAGTTAAACTCCACATAAATTATGTAAGATATTATATATATTAAAAATACGAATTTAAACTATTGACTTTTTATTTATTTTAATTTTTTGTCCGCTTGCCTTATTTTTAGGTCCGTAATCTTTTTTTTTTTTTGAGAAAATATAGGAGTTGACCCATTGATAGAATTTTTTAGAGTGTTTCATCCTACACCTCCAACATCTCATCCTACACCTCCAAAAATTCCAATTTTAACCTTCTGACATCCTGTACCTCCAACCTTTTTAAAAATTTCATTTTTATCTTTTTTCTCTTTCTACTTAAAAGACATTTTATTTTCTTTTCTTTTTCTATTAAAGACACTCTACACCACCTTAATAATAATTCTAATTTAATTTAAAATTTAAATATTATTTAATATAATTTTATATTTTAATAATTATTAAAATATGATTTATATTAAAATAATAACTATATTAAAAAAATAAGAATAAAATCATAAAAATAAAAATAAAAATAAAATAATAATAATATAAAATTTGACTTAATATATTTAAATATATTAAATTATATTAAAATATTAAAATAAATTAAACAATTATTAAATTCTAAATAAAAACAAAAAATTTTAAAAACTTGTTATCGAAAATCAGTTTTGTTTTTTATTTAAAATTTAATCAATATTTATTTTAACTAAATATTATAGCATTATTTATTATATTTTTATATTTTAATAATTATTAAAATATAATTTATACTTTTATAATAGTTTTATTAAAAATTAAAAATAAAAATAACTAAAATAATATTAAAAATCACATTTAATATATTTAAATATATTAAATTATATTAAAATATTAAACTAAATTAAATAATTATTAAAATAAAAAAAAAAAAAAAAATTTTAGAAAAATTTATTTATCGGATATCCACTACCCGATTATAAATTTATCGGACGTCAATATCCGACTAACGTTTGTAAAATTTTACTTTTTATTTAAATTTTAATAATTATTTAATTTAATTTAATATTTTGATATAATTTAATATATTTAAATATATTTAATGTGATTTTTAATATAATTTTTACTTTTATTACTTTTAATCTTATTTTAGTTATTATTAATTTTATTTTTTAATAAAACTATTATAAAAATATAAATCATATTTTAATAATTATTAAGATATAAAAATATAATAAATAATGCTATAACTTTAATTAAATTAAATATTGATTAAATTTTAAATAAAAAGCAAAACTGATTTTCGATAACAAATTTTTAAAATTTTTTGTTTTTATTTACAATTTAATAATTGTTTAATTTATTTTAATATTTTAATATAATTTAATATATTTGAATATATTAAGTCAAATTTTATATTATTATTATTATTTTTTTTTATTTTAATTATTTTATTTTTATTTTTTTAATATAGTTATTATTATAATATAAATCATATTTTAATAATTATTAAAATATAAAATAATATTAAATAATATTTAAATTTTAAATTAAATTAGAATTATTATTAAGGTGGTGTAGAGTGTCTTTAATAAAAAAGAGAAGAAAATAAAATGTCTTTTAAGTAGAAAGAGAAGAAAGATAAAAATGAAATTTTTAAAAAGGTTGGAGGTGTAGGATGTCAGAAGGTTAAAATTGGAATTTTTAAAGGTGCAGGATGAGATGTTGGAGGTGTAGGATGAAACACTCAATTTTTTATTTTGGTTAATCTAAATGGGCCATTTGGGCCCAATAGCTACAGAACCATGATCTTCAACCTAAACCCTAAAGCCCCTTCTTCTCTCTTTCTGCGACTCTATCAGTGAATCGATTCCAACAAGCATCGAAGCTCGGGAATTGAATTGAATTTCTTTACCTAGTAAGTGCAAAAACTTTTCTCTTTAAATTGATTTAGAAGTTCGGTTTTTTTGGTTTAATTGTAATTTTACATGAAAAGGGGGAATTTGTATTTTTAAATTTGAAGGTGGTGGTGGTTGCCAAAAAATTTGCTGACTTTTTAGACTTCTGTATCTTTACCCTGTGAGTTATTGTCGATTTTACATTCATGGTCTTTCAATTATCTGACCTTTGCATATAAAATGTTTGATGAAATGTGTTTGCAGGTGGTGAGGTTGCAGATTGGAAGAAGATGAAAAAGGGTGTTCATCCACAGAAGCAATGGATATCCTACGTTACACAAACAGGTAGGTTGATGCATGTGATGATGACAAAGATACACCCTGTTGGAAAAGTCTACCACTTCCGGGCTAAGCGTCAAATGGCCGAGAGTTTAGGACAGATTGCTAAGTTCAGACGCCGCTTTGGTCTAGAAAATCAAGCGGCCAATGAAAAATAACAATTTCAGTGGGCAGAAGGAACTTTGGCTTTTCATTTTGGAAGAGAATAACAGGTATATTGGTGGTATACTCTCAATCAGGTTCTTTTGTAGCATTCAACATGTCTAGTTAATCTGCAGAAATGTTTCATATCATGTGATGTCTTTAGCAGTTGATATTTGCTTGTGGGTTTATTAATGCAAATTCAAACTAGAGATCTTTGTCGACTCTTTTGCATATTACGAGGAAATTTATTGCTGGGCACTAGGTTAGCCTGATGCTTATGTTGAAGGGTGAAATTGCTAGTTTGAATTGAACAACGGTATCTAGTGATTGTTTAGTTTCTTAGTATAAATCTTGTCTGAAACAACCATCTGCAATATGCCTATTTTAATTTGTTCTTTGATCGGCTCTCTATTATCTGGCATTATCTGTGTCTGTTTAGAAGTTTTAGAGAAGGTTAAGAATTACCATACTTTAATCTTGCATAACATCCCATGATTGACAATGGAGGAAAATATGGATTTTGTGTCATTTATATGGTAGGATAAGTTTCCTGCAGCAGAATATGATTTTTGTACACTGTCAAGTCGAATTCAGCTTATGCACCAAAAGAATATATCATCAATATTTATTCTCTCATAAGACTCTTAGCTCTTATTGTTACCAAGCCAATTCCAATAATAAGTGAGGAAAATAGAATAACAAACCAAATATGTAGTGACGTGCAAAAATTCGAGTTATCTATTGCCCTGTATGCAATTATATAGGTGTAATATCACTTACATGGTTCTTTAAAATCAAGGTTTTGTTGTGCTTTGGTTGAAACCTCATATTCATCATCTGCTATGGCATTGTACTTGGCTTTTTAGATCTTAATTAAGATTAAAACTTCCACTAGTAACATTTTATGTCTAACCACATATCAAATATAATTCTTTCTTAAAAATAAATAAAAAATATCGGTTTACTTAGTACTATTATTTTCATTTAAAGATTTTAAAGAAAAGGTAAAATCTAAGGAGTATAAATAATACCATTTTATAATATATTTTTTCTAGGAATCATATTTCTAATGATCTCCTTCACGTGAAAGTGATTTGTTTGAAAATAAAAGATTCCGTATATCAAACATCACCTAACTATGATGTAAGTATAGACACGATTTTTCCCCTGTCGAACATGAATGCAACGGATTGTCCATCATTTCTCCATTAGAAAATTATGTTTGTGTCGCACTAACATTATTTTATTTTTAACGACAATATCCATATTTTTAACATTATTTTATTTTTCTTTTCAAAGTGTTCTACTTTAAAGTGTATAAATAATTCACTTAATAACACCTTAGTTTTTTTTAAAAAAAAATCTCCTAAATTATTATTCCCAAATCCTAAAGTGTTTTTCCTATGTACGGAGGTCAAACTTGCTTTCATTAGTAATACATTTATATGGAACTATTATTGTTAATGTGAAATTATTTAATTTTTAAAAATTAGCATTTAATCGGAAAAATAAGAGAACTTATTGCAATGAAAACACAACTTCAATATTTTTAAGGAATGTATAAATACTTACATAATATTTTGATAGAATGGTTAATTCAGTAGTTAAAAGTATACTCGGTTTCAATTTAGTTCTAAAACTAATATAAATGAAAATATAAATCGTAAAAATAACTTTTATATTCCGCAATTCTTTGTTCACTTCAGGTAAGTAACTTTTTATTTATTTATTAACATTTATTGTCTTAACGGAAATATATATATATATATATATATATATATATATATATATATATATATATATATATATTTCAAATAATTCAATCTATGATATTCCCACTGATCTCTCGAGAACTACAAGGCCTAGTTTATTTTAATCGATTATAACACTGGTCTATTTTTCATCGTTTCTTTTTACTCTTTTAAAATTTTAATATAAAAACACAAAATAATTTAATAATACTTCTAATTGTGAAAAAAGTTGAACGAAAGAGGATTCATCTGAAATGTGAGTACACTTTTTGGTTTTCCAACGTTGTCCTGATGAAGAAGTTGAGTGGTTAATGGTCAATCTGTAGTGACTTCGTTTATTTGAGCAAAACATGTTCTAAGGATGCATATTTTTTTCTTCGATAAGTAAATGAAGCGTCAGACCGCCAAGTGTTGAATTTTCTAAATACTTATTCGGGATATAAAAGAATGCAAATACAACCTATAAGTGCTTAATGAGTAAGATCTTTCAAGATCATATAGAAAGAAGCGTAAACATCTATGTCAATGACATGATAGTAAAATCTTAGTCATGCTAAGAATTTGCTCGAGATTTTTTATCAAATTTAAAGATACAACATGAGTCTAAAAAAAATTAATATTAATATGTTAAACCCAAAAAAAATGTATAAATAAGTTAAAAATCGTCTAAAAATGTTATTAAAAAAGTGTACATGATTTAAAATCATTTATACTCGCATATTAAACAGTTAATTCAAAATCAATTCTACTCAACTTAAAATCAAATTACTACAAAGTCTAGTTCAGATAAACTGACATTTTTTTTTGGTTTAATTTACAGAATCTGTATTGCTGCATAAAAGTTCAAAAATCAGCAAAACTACAAAAAGACTGCTACTAAACAAAGATGCTGTAAAAGCTTCTAAAACAGAACAAAGGACGTCTAATGGTCAGGAACTCAGAAATCAATACCACACGAATGGTAACGATATCAGCCATTATGATGTGCCTGTTTTAGTCAAAAGTAGAAGATAGAGTTCATGGAAATCGAGTAATAAAAACAAATAAAAAAAAATCAATTTCACATAATTGATACAACATCGACGTTATTTTTACCCTCAATTTCCCTCATTTTTTTTCCTTACATTAAGGTTAAAATACTTATATCTACATTATCTTCATTTTTTTTGTCAACAGTCTTCTAGTTATTTAACCAAACAGATTTTTTCAATTTTTACCCTTCTTCATTTCCGCTCATCCCAACAATGGTTCACTTTCTGATTTTCTTTAATATCTTCACCTCTTAATTTCTATCATATTTGCCTATATCTTGTGTCAGTCAATCAATGCACAAATGGTATGCCAAGTATATTCATATTCAGAAAGGGTTTATGAACTATTTTGAAACAACGTGGTGGGGTTTCTTTTCAATTTAACGCAAACAAAATGCTAAAATATTCAGAATGTCTAATTTAAAAAAAAAAAAAACTAAAAAAACTCAGGGCACAGCTTCTAATGCCTCAAAAATTTCACATTGGGAAATATAACGTTAACTACAATGTTCGGATCGGTTAGTCAACCAGTAGGCCTACCTATCTAACATTACAACTACACCAAGAAAAGATCACCGGAATGGCCTGGCTAGAGCAAAATATGCATCTGGATTTATCGACATCAATAACTCTACTACGATAACCTTTTCTGGGAGGGACACCTTGAGACCTGGTTCAATGATACCTGCTTCGGAAAATCCAGGAGAACGGTTAGCGCTTCAATAGCAGGTTAGGCTTAAACATAAAGTAAGAAGAGCGACTGATATTTACTTGGGGAAAGCCTTTTTCCTCTATACAGCTCCTTTGCTAAAGGATTAGCAGCCCAATGATTGACAGCCACCCGGCTCAAAGGTTGAAAGCCAACTATCTTCCCCTCGCTTGAGAAAACCACCTAAATTTCAAACAATTGCATGGGAAAAACATCAATTAATGCAGTATGAAGGGTTTCTAGACAAAATTGCAAATATCAAGACTAGATTGAATAATACAAACCAAACATGACATAACGCAATTATTCCTCCGTGTTCAGGAGACCCCAGTAGTTAATGAAATTAAATTCTAATCATTAGTCATGCCTTTGAACTAAAAAACATGCAAGCCAAAGGAGAAGATTATTAATTATAATACTCAGAAATTCTGGGGTACCTGGTAACTGGCAATGTCCTGTATGGACACTTTTGCATCTGCGTTTATATTCTCTGAAGAAGTAGAAAGAGTATCAACACCTTCAACTCTCAAGTAAGCTGGCAATTCTCCAATCCAGACACCAAAATCATCTTCAACCTTAATTTCATCCGACCAGCCAAAAGTGCTTTTTACTTTAGTAATAGCTAACACGCAATACTCTCCCAACTATCCATGAAAGAGATCCAAAGAAGGGATTCTTAGAAAGATGTATAAACAATACCAATATGCTAGGAGAAACTCAGAAAATAGCTAAAAAATTGCCTACAACCTTTGTAGTAAAGATTCAGTGTTGCAATATTGGAACGTAAACAGTTTCAAATATAACAATAGGGCACAAAGCCAGTGGAAAAATGCCGACGGCTTTTCAATATTGTAACTTATAGAGATCAATCGATTTCCAATGACAAGTCTTTTTTCATTCTGTGTTTTCATTGTGTCAAACATGGTATGCAGGCTATATATAAATAAATAAAATAATATAAGAAAAAGAAAATGATAGATTGCACACCTTTGTTGCATCCAAAAAGTCATGCACTGAAACCTTGACATCAGATGATGGGAGAGATCTATATTCTACTGATTGTTTCCTTTCCTTGCATAACCAAGGCAAACAAAATTGACCGAAAACACTAATTGCTACAAGAAATATACCACTTGCAAGGGTGACTGACAACAATTTAGGAAAAGAATTCCCCTACACAAAAATAAATAAATAAAAATCAATTAAATAGTGTACTCTGTTTGACAATCATTCAAAAAACGAATTAGTAAGCATAAAATATAACTAACAGGAAAAAAAAAATCAATGTGAACTATCCTTGTTTACTTGTTTATATATGCGTACAAGAAAACTATATCTTCAGCATCATTAATTGGTTAAGTTTCAACAGTTCTTCCTATAAAGAAAATATGACATTTCCTTCTTTTGGTCCTCAAAAATGGAAGCCACTAAATATGGTTCTTTTTTAAAAAAAAAATACAGGAATTGGAAAACAATATATTCTCCTGTTCACAATTGGAACACTCTGCATGATATTGAACAAGGATGTTATTGGAAGAGTAACTTTATATATAGAAAGACATTATCATGTAGTTTCTTTTTACTCTCCAACAATTTGTTACCCTTTTATTGAACCCTTTGGCAAGTTTGGCAGAGACAAAACCCAGAGAGTTCCAATAGATTTTAACATAACACAAAAGGTCAAGTCTTGTAAATGATAAATTGGAGAATTTTAAGAAGAAAAAGGTACAATAGATTACCGTTTTATTGGGCACATTGGCAAACTTAGCAGCCATACCACAGGATAATTGCTTATCAGGTAGTGAATAAGGATCTACATAGTAGATATCTAGAGTTTCAGCCAACTGAACCTGCAATTTTGTTCAACTTATAACTGATTACATCTATGCATGATATTAATGACACGG